GTCACTTCACAACTTTATAAGGAGGCATCCTTCAAGAACTGATGCAGAATTTGTCGTGGTTGATGCAGATTTACAATAAATTCCCCCCAAAGCATTATAGTACCATGTGGGCCGCACCATACCACAGCCTGAAATGGATTCACTTGAAACAAATATCAGAGATGGTGAAGGGGCATCTGAAATGGCAGCTCTGACATATCAAATAACAGACGACATTAGTAAAACATGTTAAGTAATGTATTTTAAAGTTTGGCTAGACAATTATGAATGACACCTTATTTTAGGATTTTCTGTAAGGACAATCTGCTGTTACATAGCTATGTTTGATATTTTTATGCTCACATGCTTTGAACTATGTAATATGAATGGCTTGAATAGTATTAGTATGAAAAGTGTTATGCTATTATTGCGATGAAAATAAATATATGTTGCACTTCAAAGTATCATATATGCAGAGTGAGCTTTATCTGAAATTCATTGTCGATGAAGAACTTATGATGGGCATAATTTCTAGCAGTTTGGATGACCCAATTTTTTAAAGGCAACCGCTGCTATACATCTGGAATACATTCATATCACTCATTTTTTTATTTAGAAGTGATATGTATTACATTAGTGATTGTAGGTGAAGAACTTCTGATCTTACTGCATTAAATTCCACCAAACAACCCTTATTTCCATGACTTGTGGGGATGCAAAGTTGGGGGAGGATCACAAATGTTAAATATGGTGGTTGAGCTATGATATTTAAAAGTTGGGGGAGAATCACAGATATTTCAAATAGCTCACTTCTTGCATATGAATTCATTTGTTTGGATGAATTCCTTTGTATGACATAAACTATATATTGTTGCTTTTAATAGCAGCTTTGAGTTCATTTTATAATTACTGTGGATATATTGCTCTATGTTGGTGGGAGTTTGCAGCTTGTTGGAGAGCTTTCATTTTTGTTATTTGCATCTGGTACCCCTGTAAGCTGCACCTGTTTTCCAAGGTGGCATGAATTGGTGGGCTAAACATATTTGTTGTCGTTCAACTGTGATTTATTTATTTGAATGAGAATGAGGGTTGTTTGGTGGGAAATGAAGCTGCTAGTGAGGGATTTGTCTGATTGGCATGAATGATTTTTATTTTAATTGATATTCATGTTTATAGTAGCTTGGATGACCCTATACTTTAAGGGCAACCACTGTTGGGTTTTTTCATGTTTCGTTATCGAAACTGGATGGATGTTGCCTTCATTTGAAGCAGCTTGAATGACCTTTTTTTCAGGACAACTGCTGTCTTCTGTATTTCATTCGAGTATGAAGAATAATTTGTTGGTAACATAATTTGTTTGGAATTGAATTTGTTGGTAACAAAATTTATTTGGAATTGAATTTGTTGGTAACAAAATTTGTTGGATGCATGGTGCATCACTTTGAAGCAGCTTTGATGGCCACATGTGGTTATATATGAGGAGATTATTTGAAACTTTATGTTTATATGAAACTTTCTATTACATTGATTACCTGTTTACTCCCCCTTTATGTTTACAAATCAGAACTTATTTTTATAATCTTTTGTGATCTGGAAAAGAACTTGAAAGACTCACTATTTCTTTTATCTTTTCTGTTGCTTGGAGAAAATATTGCAACAAAATATCCTAATAATGATATTTCAATCCATTTTTTAGCTTGTGAAGTGTGTTTTATGGGTGTTTATGTGAGTTGATGGGGTTTTTGCTGCATTAGAATATCTAGTTTTTATTTTAATGCTGAGGGGGTTTGTTGCTCTTCGATTTTATAATGACAGCAATTTTTAAGGTGAATGCAAGTCTGATTTGCTGAATTGATATTATGTTAAGGTAAATGCAAGTTTGGTTTTAAGATTAAAATTATATAGATGCTATAGTCATGCCATTCTAGGAGTTATATGGAAGATGTAATGAAGTCTTCCTATATTTTATTCATTTGATGGTGCATCTAATTATTTGTTAAATACAAATGCTTACAGGTTCGGTAAGCATGTGTTTTCCTGTTTGCTAGCTCGGTTAGCTTGCTTGTGGGAAATGTGAATACGTATATAGTATGTCGTATCTTTTCTTCAGATCTCTTGTTAAAATACCTGCTTGGGAGATATTTTTTTTTGGGGATATCTGCTAGTTGTTGGTTGGAGAGTTTGGTTTTAAGCACATATTACAACTTCAACTCCTTTATTCTATTCATTTCTGAAGCAATATTTTATTATGTTGGCAAATAATTATTTTCTTTAAAAAGTGAGGCTCAATGTACTGTATTGATCATGTATTGTATAAATTTGGCTTTGGAATTCCTAGTTGAAAACATCTATTTCGGTTTGGAACATATATGAAGCATTTCTGTTTTACATTCGATGCAGGAAACTGTTTTACATTCGATGCATTTTTGTTGTTGAGTCAATGAGGTGCTATATATTGAGGGCAAGCATTGTTGAGTCAATAAGATGTTTTTTTGTTGTCGAGTCAATAAGGAGCTTTATATATTTATATGTATGAAAAATTATTAGAATTGTGTGGTAGCATATATGAAGTCTCTCTATGATAAATATCAATTGCTTCAAACTTCTATAGTAAACTATGGCTGCGATAGCATATATAAAGCATCTCTGTGGTATACATTTTCTGTGAGAAGCATTAGTTGGATCATTGCAATCTATTATATAAACTGCTTATGTATGACATAATTTTCTATAGTTGTTATGGTATGGTTATGTATGACATCATTTTCTATGGTTCCTGAAATTTGGGATGAAGCATTTGAAACATTTCTATGTCTGCTATTTGATGTACAACATTCGGATTTACCTGAGAAATTGAGTGGTATATATGTAAAAATTTCGGAATTATCTGCTGCAGGTAATTATAATTATTGTTGGTACATATGTTATAGCTTTCCCATATTATTTCGGATTTACCTGCTGCATCTACACTTTCTGCAGTACATATGCGTTTCGAATTATCTGTTGCATCATTTGGGTGCTACGCATCCATGTATATATTTGATTCATTTGTGTGCTTCAAACTACATGTCGTTTTGCAAATATGTTTGGATATATGGATTAATGGACGAAATGCTACTATATAGATTTATGTCCTATTTAATTTTTTTTCTTAATACTAAATTGTACTGATTTTAATGAGATAACGGAGGAGCAGTTTGGACGGCCATAGACATTTGTTGTCAGCAACCGCTGCTTCCATACCCTGGCAAGTATACTTTCAATATTTGCTCAATTTTTTGACTGATCTATTCAATTTTTAATAACTGCAAGACGATGAATTCCACATATTCAGGGAAGTCTGAGAAAGTGACGTGTCGGTGCGGACTACCGTCCTTGCTACTCACGTCACGCCTGACACATAACTTTGGGAGGCAGTTTTACAGATGCCCGTGGTGGGCACAACGACAAGAGGACTGCAGTTTCTTCAGGTGGGCCGACAAGGAGTCTGTTTCTATGATATCTCAGCTGGACACCGCTATTCAGAGTTCTTTAATCTCAAAATTTCAAAACACCGCATCTGATTCGAGTGCTTCCTTTTCTACTGCATCCCAGTCGAACAGGTTCGCTCAGGGTTCTGGAGTGTTAGAGTCGGGCAGCATGAGCTGTGATATGCAGCTACATTTTAAAGTCAACATTATAATTTTTTTCCTTGTCATTTTGACATGTTATTTTTTCTATGTTATTTTTTGACATGTTATTTTTTCTTTTTTTTGATCTTATTATACTCCATATTAGTATGTGAAGGTGCATTTTATTTTTTTAGATATGTTTCGTTTGATGTGATCGAATATATTTGAGTTATATAAATTTAACATCACTTTTTTGTATTCTCTTCTCTTAACATTTGATCTCTAATTTTGTTGAGAAAAATAATAAAATTTGCTACACAGATTATTAATTCAACTAAAAAAAATTGCAAATAAACTGTTTACAAAAAGCACAAACCAAATAACTAAAGCACAAACCAAACAAAAAGCACAAACCAAATAACTAAACAGCTTATTCAGAACAGGGGCACAATGATCATTTTACCAGAATTAACTGTTTTTCAAACGCACAAACCAAACAACCAGATAGCTTATCCGGATCAGCTGCTCATCAGCAGATTATCAGGATAAGCTGCTTATCAGCGAAAGCTGGATAAGCTGCAGCTGCCCTAAACAGACCCTTAGAGGGCTGTAGGAGCGTATTGGGGAAGGACTTCATGCTGGCCGAAGGGATTTCGGAGACTGTAGAGAGCATTCTGGCTGCTAAAGGAGAGCTAGGGTGATACCATTCAAGGAGTCCTAGCAAACGAAGACGACAGTCAACGACGAAACAGACAAATTGCTTAGATAAACGAAAATGAAGTCGATTCATTTGACCGACACAGACGAAGATGTCATCGCAGGAAAAAAGACTACAACACCGTTCAAAGAAGAGTACGCCGCAAATTTGATCGAACAATACTGATGAAGTCGTCGATTTAGGTGAAGAGTGACACCGTTCGAAGCAGACGATCAACGCCCTAATATTGTAGCAGGGTGACGTGAAGCAGACGAAGCCCATGTCGCCAACAATGCCTAGCGATGCAGTCGGTCCAAATGAGTCTCTGATACCATGAAGAAAAGTAGAAAAACCATCTAGGGCAAATGTAGTTAAGGCTATTACAACTTACCAAATACAAAAAAAACAATAATATGAAAGACTCACCATTTAATAAGAAACAAAAAAAAGAAATAAACTTAAATAGGAAACTCCATTAAATAGTTTCCACAAATTGATCCTGTGGGGCCCATATGACAAGTGGTCTGAGCCACCTAACAGGGACAAAATTCAACAATGAGCAAAAACCAATGCCATTAGCAAAACCAAATGAGTTCAAAAGCATATTGAATCCATTTTGTGCATGTATGCAAGGGAAAAGTGAGCAGGTAACCAGGCTCATACAAAGCCACTGCATTTAAGGAGGGCTGTAAGATAACACAGAAACATCTCACCTTGTGCTGAAGCCTCATTATAGTAGATATTAAAAGTTTATCACCGATGATTTGCCGTAGCCTCTTAACCAGGTCAAGCCTGGTTATTTGTCTCTTCTGAAAAAATAAAAAATAATAAATAAGTCCATCAAATGAACTCAAATTTTTGAAGGGAAGAAGCATCAACAGAAGAAGGATGTGATGGCTTAAAATAAACCTTGAATTCTTCATAATGTTTATTAACAAGATCCATATCTTGAGAAGAAACTTTGGTTGAAATTGCAGCAAACAACATAGAAAAGGGCATCCATGGGGATGTTGGTTTTGGATCTCTACCGAATGAACCAGCTATAGGAAGTAACTGGTCGGCTGGTCCAAGTGCTGGCTTATTATTGCCTACCTGAAATGTTTAAATATTACCATTACGGGACTTCAATTTTCAACTTTATCAAAACTAAGTTACAGCTTGATAATATTAAAATATTATAAACAGATGAAACCCCAATGAAAAAATTACTACTCATAGAACACTGAAAAGTAAAATGACCAAGCTACAAAAAAGAACGAGAAAAAAAATTAAAACTTTATTTGCATCAAAACTCCTGCATAAGAAAGCTAAATAAGAAAACAAATTAATAAATACAAATAATAATTGTATTTTATTTTTAGACTATTTAATTCAAAATAAATATAATAAAGCTAAAATGTGCACCTTAGATGGTGAAACACGTGAAGTACCATCACTAATTGTGGAATCAACTATCCTTTCTTTTCCAAAAATAAACTCTGAATCCAAGATAAGCGTCAAGAGATCCATAGCCAAGTTGCCAAACCTTACAAATACTAAAATAGAAATGTTAAAAGAATAAATATTTTAACCAAATAAGAAGTACCTCTAGCCTCAGAAAGTAACTTGAAAGTCACAGCATATTCTAGATAGATGTGAGAATGCATATTTTTATCCCATATAACATAATGCTTCGGTGCTTTAAGATCATCCACCCCACTGTCAAATTTGTCACTACTCGGTTGAGATTGTGTTGATCCAGGATGAACAACTTCCACATTGCCCATAATGATGCGGCATAGAATCATATGAGACAAACCATTTTCGTCAACATCGGAATAGCTAGCACTGTTAATACAGATTTGTGAGCAGGCTATAATTCAAAAAAGCAAGTCATAAGCAGTTTGTGGATATATATATATATATATATATATATATATTGCAAAGGAATGGCCGGAGACAATGATACGAGCCCTAACTATCCCTCGAGTGCCTATAATTCGAGCACCACACCCTACACTCGGAGGGAATCGAATCAGACCACAGGGGACTTACAACTGAAAAACAGATATCCGACCAACTAATCTGAGTATGCGGAGCATATATATATATATATATATATATATGATGTCATTTTAAGCTTACGTTTGTACATAGCATATTTTTTACTCCCTGGGGCATGGATTGAAGGTTTGACAACCCACAATGAACAATGTTTATTATGACCAATAAAAAGAAAACCTCACCAGACATTGGAGCGGTTTACTGGAGCAAGATGAATGCCCAGGCCATATGTAGTACCCCGAACCGGCTTTTCAATTCTCCTAGCCCCACACAATAAAATATCTTCCACAGCAGACTTGCTGGAAGGCAGCCATGCATATCTTACGTTTGCATTACCACCACGAAGACTCTTGATGATCTCAACTTGCTTCTGGAAAGTTTGAAAACAAACTTCTCCAAATCTATTAACAGTAGGTGTCCTTAAGATGCTAACTACATCATTGGCATTAACATGAGGGTATAATCCGCACAGAAAAAGACTCCTGATGGAGCCCAAGATATCTAAAGCATAGTCTGCTCTGGTCTCTTTCACCTGCACAGATTCTGAATCTGATATATTTGCAATAGTAAAAGAGCGCGGTTCATTCTCTCCCATTCTTTCACCATTATCGATAGAATAATTGTCAACAATAATAGGTTCAGCAAGCTTCACCGGTTCATCATCATCAGGGCGTACAAATATTGAGCTTTCAGACGCACTCGTAAGGACCCCACAGTGATTTATTTCTCCTGATCCATTTGGCAATCTAGCAGCATGAAGATTTCTGCCATTGACGAATCTATGTGCAACGCAAGATTCCGGATAAAAATCTGGAAAGAAGCATTTTCCATGTTCATCAATCCAAGCAATAGGCATGCTGAGACCTGTTTTTGAATCTATATGAAGCATATGGACAAAATCCAACAAAAACTGCTCGTTTTTATGTGTAATCTCTATTATCGCCTTCTTTAACCGGAAATCTTCACGCATAAGGTCACAAATCTCAGCAGCAAAGTCCTTCCATTCACTGTCATGGTAAAACAACAACCGTTGGGGCAAGCCACTCTTCATGAAGTTGAGATAATTTCTAACAGTGAGGTTGTTAAAAGGTAGGAAATGCTGAGTATAACAATCACAGGCTTTAATCATATTGCAACATGACAAAGTTGGCTGGTCAGCCCCAGGCTTTTCAGATGCTAACCTGCTGCAAACACTAGTAAATTGTGGGGAAGAGGATGGTCTCTTCTTCATAAAACTGTTAACTCCAGAATTATGCAACAACTTTTCATTTTCCCCATCCATTTATATTAAGAAAAGAAACAGCAGTAGGAAAAATCTAAATACTATTCATCCGGGAAGCCTGCCTACACAGTTATTTACAAATATACGGAGATTATCCATAAGAACTCATGTCCACCAATCTCTTCTCAAAAACCCTGAACGGTAAAATAATAGACAGAAGAAACAAAGAAGATTAACAATATCACCGCATTGGAATGCAAACAGTTTGTAGAAAGCAGCACTTAATAGAAAAGGAATAAAATAAATTGCAAGAGAACGCAACAAAAGCATTGAGTTGAAAAAAAAATTAAAAAAGATCATACTAGTCCAATATCATGGAAAACATAAGAACATATTTATGAAATCGAATGAAAGGGAGATCCTATACGAAGAACATGAGTATTCTCACGAATTCTTAAAATAAAATATTAATTTGATACCATGTATAAAGTACATAAATAGTTCTACACATACTTCAGGGAAAACAGTGCCACAAATAATACAATAAATATGCATTGCAGCACTAACAAACATCGTAATTCAAGTTTAAAGAAAATAGTACTGATAAAAGACACCGTGGTATAAGGCTCCTACCAATATGATTAAAGAGAGATGCCAAAGGTCTAAGATTCATAATACGAAGCTAAGAAAGATGCACAAAGAAACAAAAAAAAAAAACAGCAATTAAAAAATTTCCAAATTTTCATTTTAGCAAATATTGACTTCTTTTTATTTAAAATAAGACATATTTCATTCAATTCTAGAAGTAATAAAAATTACCAAACTTGAAAATCCACAAAAAATCTGAGAAAGAAAATAAAATTCATGGTCATTAAGATACATACTGTAATAATAATAATAAAAATATATATAATATTTATATATATATATTTATAAGCTAAGCAGCACCACTTAGTGCAGCTATTTAAAAGAAAGCTAAAAAAAGGGAAGGGGACGTGATTTTTATACGTCAAAATTAGGTTCTCCACTATTCTGGAGATGTATGTTTCAATTTGGATTTCTTTTGCAATCCATAAGCCCTATATTTTACTTATATCCAAAATAGCCTAAAAATTGTTAGGCTTATTGAGGAAGCTAAACTCAGAGGTGATAATTAATAAGTTGGCAAGGCAAGAGGAAAAAGAATTTTGAAATATTACGAATCATAAACTTCTACAACTCTTTTCTTAAATATGAAATTTTTTTTTTTTAGAATGTAATGTAATTTCTTAGACATGAAGAACTGATACCATGATAATTTATAGTTAAACAGGTAAGCTATAATAAATAAGTACATAAAGAAAATTATGATTAAAATTTTATCTCAATGATAATGCCTTGTAGATGTAAACTTGAAATTATTATAGAAAATATAATAATAAACGATAAGCTAAGCTAATTTTAGAAAGGAGGGTGCATATTAGATATTGATTTTAAATTCAATAATTTTTAAATTGAGTACTAAATAAATATAAAAAATATATAAATCGAATTACTAATAATGACAAATGAATATATTAGATATAAGTAATAGTAGGATTAAAAAATTCACTGTGAGAGAAAAGAAGTAAAACAATTTTGATTCAATTAATTTTGAAATTCCAAAACTGTTTAATCTTTGAGTTCCAAAACTGTTTCAATTAAATAAAAAATTCCAAAACTGTTTAATCTTTGAGTTCCAAAACTGTTTCATACTTGCTTCCAACAGTTGTCCTGCTGTCGCCAGCCACACCGACACCTTCCCCGATGTTGTTCAACACTTCACACAACTTGTCCTGCTGCCGTCCAGACCCTCAACCGCCCTCCAGCAACCACCCCGACCTTCCAACCCTTGTCCAGCAGTTGTCCTGCTGCTGCCAGCAACCGGAAACAAGTCGACTACGTGCTGTCCTGCTTCCAGCCACCAGCCAGCAGATCTCCTACCTGCTGCCAGCCACCAGCCAGCACAACTGCAGCAACCTTCCTCCCTGGTTGGACCTGCCACTCGCCCTAGAGGAAGCTTTCTTTGTGTTTTGAGTTGTTTTCTTTCTTATTTCGCAGTGTCATTGTTGTCTTTTGACCGTTTGGAAGTTGTGGTCATTTGTTTCCATTTTTTTATGAGTCTTCGCGTAGTTGTTCGTAATTCAGTAATAATATTTGCTATTGCTGTCGTGAATTGGGTTAACTTCGGTATCACTTATTTAACCAAAAGGGTAATTTATAATTTAGGTCCATTTTTGCTTACCTAACCCTTCAAAGATAAAACTTCCCTCTCATCGAATCATAAATATTTTTAATTTTACAGCACTTCGAAATTAAAACACAATTTCTGTTTGCAAAAATGGCTACAAGCAGAAAGTGAACGTGAAATACATAACAATTGTGTTTATCCAAACATATGCATCAACAAATCCAAACATTATTATGAGATCCAAAGTAATAGTGTATAGTGGTCTTACTCATGGATTCCGAAGAAACTTTATTTCGAAATCCTGTTTTTTTTTCCATTCTCCTTTCTCATCTGCAGTATGAACTATTCTATATTCTTTCCTAACCCCCCTGATTGCTATTCTTGATGTTATTCTTGTAGTGCTTACTCCATAACATCAATGATCTATCAATTAAAGGCCAATCATAAAGGTATGTTTCCTCCCTTATTTTTCCGTACATAACATATGCCAATCTTAAAGATACGTTTCTTCCTTTTTTGGAACTCGACACCAAGTATGAAACAGTTTTGCAAGTTTTAGTAGTAGTTCTGATATTTTCTTCTTTCTTGTATATAAATGAACTCCGGGAGGCAAGGGAGGCAAGGGCCATGCTTCTGCCAGGTATATTTACACAAGGTTATCACCCATGACTAGGTTTTTGTTTCCCAATGAATATCTTGTTCTGGACTATTTAACTGATGAAGGACAATCAATTGAACCCACACCGTAATTTATTTTATCTAGCAATTGATTTATCAATTGACTTGAACCAGATTATCTAATTTAAATCTGTAGGTATGTACCAATTATTCCTAATTATTCACATGGTCTTAGTAAATGGAAGTGGGGGAATTGGTACAGGTTGGAGCTCTAACATTCCAAATTATAATCCAAGAGATATTGTTAAAAATGTTAATTGTTTGCTTAATAATGAGCCAATGGTGTCGATGGATCCATGGTATCGAGCTTTCAAGGTAAAGATGACATCTTTTACATCTTTTTATGTAAATAGGTTGGTGTTTTCTCCAAGTAATATCTGGAATCACACTTGTCCGCTCATATAATGAAGGCCTAATTGAGAAAACAATAGCGAAGGAAACTGGTGCCACTACGTACACCGTCACTGGCATCAGAGGGGATTGAGGAATATGATACACCAAAACAAAGTGAGTGTTCTTCCTCTTGGCATATTTCATTATATCTACTACATGTCCTAACTCTTAATCCTCTCCACAGTTGTTGAGGAGTTTTTTTCATTTAAAGATTACATATTATGAGAAAAGAAAGGTGAGATGGCATTGAATAAGTTAACACCTCCAATGATTATTCTCTGGATTTCACTTACAAATAAGAACAAATTATGCCAAATTTACACAGAAAGCTTTGTTGGATACTCTTGAGTTGAAGCTTCTTATAGCTGGACAACAAAGCTTGGTTCATTCTTGGTGTTATTGAAGGTCGGATCAAAGTTAACAAGAGGAAGGGGGCAAAATTGTTCCTTGAGCTGAAAGAGAAACGGTTTACACCAATTGCCGGAGGAAACTAAGCGCATTGATGCAGCTACAGCGGGAGTTAAAGTCTTTTGTGGCCAGAATTAATAATTATGCTGATTATTCAAATCTTTGGTCGACTAATAATTGTAATCATTGAGACAATTTGACAAAGTTGAACTATTCTCAGAAGTATACATGGAAAGCATACCCTATGTGTTTAGAGTTTAGACTTTGTTTTAATTTTTAGAACTTTATTGCCTTTACACCAAAACCAAATGAATGTGCGAGTACTCATTAATTCGTGATTATATTTTGATGGAAGTTTTGTTAGACTTATTTATAATGTTTTGGGAGATTAACATGCATGCCACTCAATTCATATGTATTTACATATCTAAAACCTAAACTTAATTTTTTACATATAAATTTTTTACATATATGTCAAACTTACCTTTGCAGGAAATGTATATTTCAATTTTTAAAAAGTTGAATTACTGGTATTTTTGCTGTGATATGAAAATTTTGGGTGGAATAAATTTAAAAAGTAAAGGTTGGGTGCTTGGTATGTAAATGCGTGGAAATTGGGTCGTATGCATGCAATGTTTTTTATGAGTAACTTCTTTTTGAGGTTATGATAAAAATTTTGTGAAAAAAAAAAACATTTTATTTTTTTTTAATCAAATGCAAGATAAATTTACAGCTCTTTTCAATTCCTTGATTTAAACCAACATTAAAATTTCAAGTGCAATCGAGCTTATAAAACGAGTCAAACTCAAGCTTTCCATTCGAGCTCGAGTTCATGAGTAGAGCTCGAGCCTAATTTATTTTTTCTCGAGTCGAGCTCGAGCTCGAGCCAAATTTACATTATACGAGCTAATCTCGTTTGAGCCCAAATTCGAGCTCGACTCAACTCGCTTACACCACTACTGAGATCTCAATAATTAAAAGTTATCAAAATAAGAATTTCTATAAAAAATTTTAAGAACTAATATCAAATTATAAATCGGTTAGAATGCATAGCACCTCAAGTAAACATAATAATAAAACTTGATACAAGCTCAAAAACACACAAAAAAACATTGAGGGGGTTGTTTGGTTTGTGGAAAAAAGAGTAAAAAGTAAATGAAATTCAAGAATTATGAAAAATTGTTTGGTTTCGAGAAAACGGAGTATAGAGTAAAATTTCAATGAGGTCCAACTTTAGTCTTCAGTTATTCTCAGTGTATTTGAAGCAGACCCAAATTTGCCCGAGTTTTGAATGCACTGCAAATTATACCTATAATCATCAATGTCGCGGCCCGTCGCCTCCCATCACCACTGAACGATGAATACTATTGTCGCCACCTCCCGCCGCTACCGACCGCTACCGTCACTGCCTCCCGCAAAATGACAGTCATCAACACCGCCACCAACCCTCTACCCGTCACAGTCGGTCACCACCATGGCTGCCACTCGTCTCTGCCACAACCAACAAACGATGCCACCGTCAACAGCTGACGCCACCATCAACAGCTGACGCCACCATCAACTACTATCGCCTAGAGGTTTTAGACTAATTTCATTTTTTTCTTCAAACCAAACGCAAAAATGTAAACTCATGAATTTGTTTTATACTGAGTCAAACACTTTCAAAATATTTTAAATATTTTATATTTCAATTCCACTGCATTACTTTTTCAACATATCAAATAGTTTGGAAAAAAAATTGTCAATAGAAATAATCAATTGAAATATCCATGCCTCATGTTAGTACAAGAAGAATCAACCTTAGAAATTGTTATCAATAATTGCAAAGGGCTCTAAAAATCCGTATTGGATAGCACACGGGAGTTGAGGGTAAACAAAAAGTTTATTTAACATTCAATCATTCATTGTCAATTTTACATGCATTAAGTGATCCCACTAAACTAAAAAACAGCCAAAATAAGTAACTTGTCAAATTCACTTGAGACATAGCATAATATTGCAAGTTTCAATTCAATAAACTAGAACTTTTTGCAAATGAAAATAAATTTCTAACCTTAGTTTTTGCAAAATAGTGAGTTTCTAACTTTAAAATTTCCATCCCAGCACTTCCAAAATTCCTCCTTTCCAGCTATACTGCAATATTGAGAAATGAATAAAACTAATAGTTGAATAGATTACATTGCAAGAGAATGAAACAAAGCAGTAAATATGGCTACAACGCTTGAAATGAATAAATAAAGAAGCAGGTAACAAATAGAGACTCCAACATATGAAGCAGAGGGTCCGATAAAAGCTGCAGTGTAATTTTAGATAAGAAAATTGCATACGAATAGCTAGCAAATTTTGCTAAAACACTAGCAAATCAATAAACAAAGCAAGAAATAGTCGACATTTTACGGTAACGAGCACCTGGAACAATAGCAAGCAATTAGCGAAGTAGCTATTATAGCTAGAAACTGAAGGAGGGAGAGTTAACTGTTATAGCAAGTAACCAAATAAAACTACAAGGCAGCAGGCAGGTTAAACTCAAGGAACAAATGGCAGCCAATCTAACGATTGAAAGAACACGGAATGTTGCAGCATGAAGGAATCTAAAACACAATATTGGAACATGCACTTTATGTCTAAGGGTTGATTTGAAATGATATGCAATAGTAAAACCAATCCTAGCAAGATAATCAAAAACTAGAAAACACATTCCATTCTCACAAGAACCACAATCATATTCATATTGACAGCAAAAAAAAAATAGAAAAACCGTAAACTGAGAAGTAAAACAGCTAAAACAACATCACCGAATATTATTGTATTTCCCTAACCTGCAATGAAGATAAACTTTTTCGAGCAAAAATATAGTATATAGAATAGTAATATATTATCGAGAATTGAACAAACAAGACGAACGGACAAAGATTAAGCATGCCCATTTTGAAATGTACTTAAAAAACATGAAATGGGAGAAGTTTTATATAATGAAACTAAAACAAAATGAGTTTCTAAAAATAAAATCTCGGTACCAAAAACATGACTGTTACAATACATAAAAAATGGGAACTATAACCACCAAAACAATCTGCAAATAAAAAGCGACATCAAATATAAAAAATCATTAGAAAATATAATTATTATTAAAACAACCACGCAATTCTCAAGATATAGCATCTTAAGAACCAACATTAATAAAATAGTATTCAATATATCAAATTTCGAAAAAATAATTGACAATATTTTTAACTTATATTTTAAAATAAAAATAAGAAAATAAAATACAAGTTATAGTCAAGAAGATATAGAAGTAGAGAACTATGTTTAACATCACAACAACAATTATCATGACAAAAGTGCTCCCAAACAACTTAAATTAGGACGTTAATATTTTCCAACATTCAAGCACTCTTTACTAAGTAATGAATAAGATATTTAGTTCTATTTTACACAAAAATTTTCACAATTCTATCCATGTCACCTCCGTCTCTCATGTCCTTCCAATCTACATTAACTTCATTGTTTTTGTCTTATTGGAATATAGATTCTACCAACTATTGTCCATGTCTAAATAACCTTAATTTCTTTGCCACAATATATATATATACTTAATAAACTCAAAATGTAAAAAATTCATTTTGGAGCAGAATACACCCCTTGCATGCACAAACTAGTAATTGAAGTTCCTCGTAATTAGTTTAAACCAGTCCACATTCACTGCAGTTCAAGCTTTTGTTCAAGCATGGCTTGAAACTTGTTCAAACGTGGTTCAAATCCCGCTTCCAACCCAATCAAAAAGAAGTTAAGAGAAGGTTTGAGCAAAGTTTGAGTAAGGTTCTAATAGAGTTTAAACTGGGCTCAAGCAAATTTTAAACCAGGTTCAAAAACGATCCAGAAAGGGGACCAAGCAGTAATCTTACCAGATTTAAATAAGACTCAAACCAAATTTGAACTAGGAATTACGGTAGTTATTAAAGCAATCTGGACCTTTTGGAGTTGAGATGAGCAACATACCACATAATCACAAGCATAATAATAATGACTAAAACTAATAAGTGATATTATAATAATACTTGCATTAATTGGAGTCGCTTCTTAAATTACATTGCATACAAATTTTGGACAAATCGTCAAAAATTAAAAGGAAAATCTTCTAACATCAAATACTATACCAAAATTGCAACTATGACATCACAAAGGTATCAAATAATTGGCCCTGCAAGTAATTTCATTATTATGACATCATGCTCAAGTCTGTTCTGACTGCATTTAGAAGAGTAAAAATAAACGTAAAGAGGAAGTTATATTTATATACAATGAAGAAGAATCTTAAATTCAAAGTAAGTAAATTAGGAACAAATAGATGATACATTCATTACCCTTCTAAAAAATGTTCACGAAGCTTGTGAGTCATTAAGTTGGTCGAATTAATCATGTTTGAGCTAATGAGCCATTAATCATAATACGCTCCGACTTTGGATATTAGATCGAAATACCACTGCGAAGCTCAAGCATTACTTACTAGACATGTAGTCAATGAAAAACTAACTGAATCTAACCCCAATTGAGCTCAAAGATGATATATCAGAAGCAAAGAGGGGCCATGACATTGATTTGTTTAATGAAAAGGCTTAGTGGTGTGGTTAGCAAGCTATCATATATGCAAGAGAGTTTCTAAAAGCATTCTTTTAGAAATTATCAACATGTATAATCGTGCTACATAAGATTTTAGGGACAATTGTTATTTTTTAATTTAAAACTTTAGAGAATTTCAAATAAGTTTGTTTCTCTTTAAGTGTTTGCATACAAACTCTAAAAGTGCTTATCGTCTAAGTATTAAGTGTAGATGAAATATTTTTTAATAAAATATAAGCCAAGTATTTTGCTTGTTGCAATGACCAAGATGCTAATACTCAGCTTTATTCAGTAGCATTTGCAGTTGTTGACTAAGAAAATAAAGATTCATTGATGTATTTCATAATCAGGTTGGGGGAATCAATAGAATTGGTAGAGAATTTAGTTTTTTTCTCTGATAGACATCATAATATTGCTAATGCTTTATCTGTTGTATTTTCAAAGTCAAATGATGGTCGCTGAACTCATTATATTACTATGGCTATCATGTTGAAGTTTAAAACCAATAGTTGCCATGAGGAATAACAATTGGCTTCCAGAGCTTTTAGAAAGGTTTATCAGTACTTTTACAGATTACGGATGAAGAATCTAGCCATAGATGCCTACTTAGAGAATGAAGATGGATTTGAGAGATGGTTGTTGACCTCATTTTTAGTGAGGTCTTAGTTTCTTACTCCCATAACCCAAAATCTAGCCTTAGGAGTTCTTGTTGACCATCTTAGCAGACTAGTGATGGAGCCCACCTCCCGTAGAACTTCAAACCACTTCTTGACTCATTTTTGTGAAGAACTCGCATGAGTGGTTACAAGCACTTAACTTCTAGTTGCAAGGACTAAGGACCAACATGTAGAGGGCCCGAAAATGAGTTCCTATAGGATCAAACGGTCTTAGGTAAACCCTTTGTGACTCGATTACTCGCGAACGCCGCAATTCACGCACTCACTGCACCACACACGACTTTGACTTGATTTGACTTGCACACCGGTGAGTTTGTCCGGACGATCCCGGATGACGAAACGGACCGCACCAACGCGTCCGGAACGTCAACTTTAGCTAGGAAGAACACTCATTTTGCTAAGGTTACACGAGCGCACAAATGACATGAAAATAGATGTATTTTTTTAGCGGGCACGGTCCCGGACTCAACCCAGGTTCAACTCGAGTTTGACTTGGACTGGATATGGGCTGAACACGGGCTAATTGACTCAGCCTATGTGATTTTGAATTTCAAAATTTAAATTTCAAGTTTATCATTTAATCCCCCATTAAGCTTTTCCATTTAAGCTGGCTGCTTAAAAGGAAACTATTCAATTCCCCGACAAAGCTTTCAGGGTAACGGCTCGCTCATCTTCGGCTATACAAATTAGCCCCGTATCTTCCCTGCAGAGGATTTCTGATTCGATCATATAATCCCCCGCTCTCTGCTTGATCCCGTCTCCCGCACTGAAGCCGCAGAGCATCTTTGCCCTCTGCTCGATCCCGTCTCCCGCTCGATCCCGTCTCTTGTATCTTCCCCGCAGAGGCCCGCTCTCTGTTCGATCCCGTCAAATGCACAAAAGCCACAGACCCAGCCTCTTTTTTTTTTCTCGAATCCCTCCTCCCGCCCGGTTCACCTCTCCTGCTCGCCTCCTTCCTCTTCCGAGCATTCTCTGCAAGCCGCAGAGCGTCCCCCACTCGACTCTCGCTTCTCCTGCTCCTCTTGCGCCTCACCCACGCCTCCTCTGCGAACAGAAATCCTAGCCTTCCCCATCGCCTCTACCGAAACCCTTAATCGATCCTGCCTCTGCACCGAGGCCGCCCGATTCGTCCCTTCTCCCTCGCGACAAATCCCGCACACCTATTTCGCTTCCCATCTCTGCACCATTTGCCCTTGCTCGACCCGACATTTCCCTCTCGATCCCGATTCGCCTTAAACCATTGTTGTCCCAATTGAATTTTCAACGATCGACGTTAGCAAGTAGGCAGTGACGAGATTGCAACGAACACAGAGCCGAACTTCTTTTACTTCTTTTTGCTCAGCCTCTATTCCTACTGGAAGGTATGGTTGCATATGTACTTTTGTTTCAATTACGTCTTGAACTGACTCAGATGACAAAGGCATGGTATTCTTGCAATCTGCATTTTTTTTAATGAGTAATTCAAGTTTGTCACTGCTCACTTCTATATTCCTTGGAGATCAAAGAAATTTGTGACATTTCATTGGCTCATGCATAAATTGATAATGATCATTGTAACCTGTATTTCAGCATCATTTTGGCAGGTGAATTATGTTGGTTTATACTAGCATTGATGATTTGTCTTCTTGGGATTTGTAACTACTTACATTTGAATGCAAAAAATGATCATCTATGGGCTGCATAACTTTGATAAATTTCATTTTTTTAATGAATCGTATTGAATCCCATTAGTCCTTCTGCACCTTTAATGACACATATTCTTTAGGCAGTGATTTATCATTACAAATTTTGTCTCTTGAGAATTTATAACATTGTGTGTGATTACTTTACAAAGTA